CCGGTAAACCGTAGATATATATATATATATATATATGCACAGAGTCGAACAGAGCTGCCCGATAAACCGTAGGCAGAGGGAGAAGAGGACAAGAAACAAGGGACACTGATAAACTTTTTCGTCGGAGTTTCACTGACTCATCAGGAGGCTGAACCCTCAACAGAAATTGAGGCCCTGTCCAATCATCCAATTTTGTTTTGCTCAGTAGCGCTAGCTTAATTCAAATTTCGTCACTTTCTAGTACCCATCGGCGCCACCTTTCGGGGTTTCGTTAGGGACCGATTCACTCTGCGCAGATTGACTGAACGCAGAAACCCTTGAACTTTCGGCGATCATGTTTTTCACCTGATTTTCAGTTACTCATGTCGGCCTTTTCTCACTTCTGATATCTCCAGCTGTTTTCACAAACAGCCTTCTTCAACTTACAGAACGTTCCGCTACTGACCCTGAAGATCCATGGCAAACAATAGCACTTTGTGTCCAGCATGTCTTGCTGCGTGCCTGGAGAGGCGTTTGCAACATTGATTTTGTTTGGTCTCGTCGCTTCGGTGAACCACTTGAGCCCCGATCCATTTTCGGTGCGATGAAGCTAGACCAGTGAGCTATTACCCTTTCTTCAAAGGATGGCTGCTTCCAAGCCCACCTCCTGGTTGTAATTGCTCGATCACTTCCTTTCCCACTAAGTGATTGCTTTAGGACCTTAGCGTACGATCTGGGCTGTTTCCCTTTTGACTTTGGATCTTAGCACCCAAAGTCTGTCTGCGCGATGCTCAGTTGCAAGTATTCAGGAGGCTTTACCCTAAATGTCTTACAGCTAGCATTCCACGGTCGCCACCTTCTTATGCATCATGCAACACCCGTCTTTGACCTTGATGACAGTCCTCATATTTCTGCCTGCATTTTGCACAGACCCGGGCATTATATGGCACTCGTTCGTGCAGTTGCCCAGTGGGAATTGTGAGGCGGTGGGACGATGATTCAGGCTATTTTCAACGGACTAAATGAATTTTTCTTGGCAATGCCGAATCATACTTTATTCTGGATTATCGACAGACGCTCGTGTCACACCTGTCGGGACAGGAACGTGGTGCGCCTTGGCAATTCATCATCCACACAATCACCGTTATCAATCTATTACAGCCACCGCCATCTGTGCCGAAGGGTGTCCAACATTTCCTCTTTGTGCACATCCCTATCAGTGCTATCACCCAGATATTCGCTGTCCCTTTTGTGCGCAAGGACGCTATCAGGACTGCATGATGCCTGTGACGAATGTCCTGCTCTTTTTTCGACATGTGGGCAGCATGTCCTTCGTCAGGACTGTTTCGATGAGAGGGTCCATGGTAGCCGTCCTGCTGAATGCTGTGCTGGCGCAGCTCTCCTTGGGTATCCTTCTCAACATCCACATCATCCTCAGCCCCCGGCCTGTCCTATCTGCCGAGGTGGGCGCTCCTCTTCCTGACTGGTCAGTAGAATCAAGCAGGTCAGGAGCAACACTAATTGTATTGTAAGAAAGAGAATTAAAAGCTTTCGACACTACCAACAGATACGGTTTCTGTGGGATGTGTCATTTGCTTTGTTTGACTGATAGACCTTCCTCTTCCCTTCCTTTCTTCGACCGGATCCCTTTCCCTTTCCCTTGCCTCTGGTTTCCTCCTTTTCTTTACCTCTTTGCCTTTCGGCAGCCTGCAAGTGGGTCCTCGTGACACACAGGGATAGGGGCAGTCAGCGCTCAACAAACCTGTCATCCACGTGGCTGCAAGTGGGTCCTCATGACACACAGGCATGGGGACAGCCAGCACTCAACAAACCTGTCATCCACATGGCTGCAAGTGGGTCCTCATGACACACAGGGATGGGGGCAGCGAGCGCTCAACAAACCTGTCATCCACGTGGCTGGACTTGTACGTAAGAGGTGATGAACATGCAGAGCTTTCCTTCTATATATATATATATATGTATATATATATGTATATATCGTCACAAACAGAACTGCCCGGTAAAACCATAGGCAGAGAGAGAGAAGAGGACAACATATATATATATATATATATAGAGAGAGAGAGAGAGAGAGAGAGAGAGAGAGAGAGAGAGACAGCAAGTCTCTCACACATTTCCATAAGATCAAAATGGGAATAAATCTCCCCACAAAACTCTCTCCCTTCCCCCACAAAGGCAGGCCGTTCAAAAGATAAAAGCGGAATGACATCTCCTGTTCTCGCAGGTAGAATCTGATTCGTTCCCCTGTTGCATATATTGAATGATGCAAGGGACACTGGTGACTGGGCCCATTTCCTAGCATATAGTGAATGACAAATTGCACAACCATAGTTAAAAACCAGAACCATGGTGCTGCATTTGGCACATGGGCTGGTGAGTGCTGTTGTCATAAGTCTATTCCTAGCAAGGAGGATTAGACTAAGCTCCTGAGTCTGGGCGTGTTTTAAGCAGAGACGCTGAAAAGCTATGGATTCCTAATTTTCTGCCCAGCCCCCACATACTGCGACACCTTCCAGCACATTATGTGGCACAACACACACAACACCACAATTCACACTAAATTAATGTATAGATTAATAATATTTTTATATTTTAAATTATTTTTACTGCTTACCCTTCCAGCACAATACTCACCACACAAAGACAATAAGACAATGCAGAAATTAATTTGATATTTCTACTGCTTATCCATCGACATCTTATTCAATAGCCTACCCCTGGAATCATTGCATCCATTGGTATCCCAACTACCTTGCATTTTCAGCATGCCACGTCACGTGCTGAGCATCAACAAGCTCATTTTTTTTTGAGGGTGCGGGGGCAGGGGCGGTGGGGGGAGGATGTTGGTCGAGGCCACTTCGAATCTGCACAAAAGAACACGTGTGCAAAGAAAACAGCAGGACAGCCGCCATGCTCGTTAAAGCAATGGACGTACCACGGCCATCACAGCAGCACAGGTGCCACAACTACAGGGGGCGGCTGTTGTGTCGGGCAGGCAGGGGGGAAGGCCCAACCTTTTCTACTGCAATTACCTTTCCAAACTCCAGATACCTTTGTCGGGAAGTTTGTTTTTCCTTTCAAATCTATATCCTTTTTAAACTCCAGTATCCTTTAAAATCTATACCTTTCCAAACTCCAGTATCCTTTAAAATCTATACCTTTTCAAACTCCAGTATCCTTTAAAATCTATACCTGTCGTTAGCAAAAGATATTCTGAACTGTTGTACACAAAACTCAAAAAATCACACAATCAATTGTACAATACTCATAAGGGACGCTGGACCCGTTTTCTAGCAGGTGATGCTCCCCACCAATAGATGGAGCCTATCCCCAGGTGCTAGCGGTGTCTGCTCTYATCAGCATCGCTAGCACTGGAGGGAGCTGTTTCTTCAAAAAAAAAAAAAAAAAAGAGACTCTGAACTGTTGTACGCCAAATGAGTGCGTGGACTCGCAATGTGTACTAGAGCTAAGAAAATGATCCATTATGCATGTGGAACAACTCGTTATTATTGAACCACCAGACTCACCAGTATTTTTAAACCACCAGCACTTCCCCAGAGTCAAGAGTTGCTCCCATGCACACACACTCAATGAACCAGCCGGCACGCATGGTGCACACTCAAATGGGAACCAGCAACCTGCACACGTGGTCAGATTGTGTGACGTGCAAAACCAGGACTGCATTGACGGTTAAATCCATTCGAAACTGCATGCGTGGATAAATTCCTGCCAAATTCCTGCAGAACAACACATGCACACGTGGTCAGACTGTATGACGTGCAAAACTAACACTGCACGCACGGTTAAATAACTTGAATCCATTTGAAACTGCATGCGTGGATAAATTCCTGCCAAATTCCTGCAGAACTACACATGCACACGTGGTCAGATTGTATGACGTGCAAAACTAGGACTGCATGCACGGTTAAATAACTTAAATCCATTTGAAACTGCATGCATGGATAAATTCGTGCCAAATTCCTGCAGAACTACGCATGCACAGCAGGTGCAGAACTATGCATGTGCAGCAGGAATTCATACATCACACAGGGTTTGGAATAATCAATTAAAAATTCCCCCTACATCATATCAGAATTATCCTGCAAAACTCTTATCCACACGGCAATAATTCATCCATTCGCACAGAGGGAAGTTTTGAACGAATTTAACCATGCTCAGAGTCCTAGTTTTGCATAACATTGTCATTCTCAATGTAACCACGCTTGCAGGCTAGTTCATCTCAGCGTGCGTGCATGGGCGCAACTCTTGGGAAGCGCCGGCGGTTCAATAATACTAACAAATTTAATTTAGTAACAATGGCCTGCGAATGAACGGCTGAACTCCTTCGAAGTACTGGTGCTTCGAACACCGATACAAGGAAAGGATCGGAGACAGGTCCACCATAATACATAGCACTATGGGGTAACCGTAATGCAAGGGCTTATAGCACCTGGACGGAGGTAGCGAGGAGATCTTACACTGCACTCAGAAAAAAGGCACATAACCACAGGCTACAAAACACTCAGCATAACACATCGAACACGGAGCGGAGTAACACATCAGAAACTTTCCACACCAGTCTAAGACTCCCGCTGCTAAACGCCGCGGCTGGGCTTCTAGAAACTCTGCCCCTGTCAACTACATGTCAGGCTGTCAGTGAGTGTGTAAAAGAGAGTTGCATTCCTCGTTATGCAATTATTATACTATTTATTATAGACATCCACAATTATACTCACTGGGAATGTCCAGCTTACGATTCTGCTTCGCGGCGTCAAGTCCTCGACATCACTTGGGAAAAAATCAATGCCTGCCTTTCCACACACAGGATGCACGCTTCACCAAAAACGCACGCCGGTTGTGCAAAAGAAAAAACCATTCGCCACTCAAGTACACTCCATTCATCATTCAATTACAGTCTACTATAGACATCCACTCGTCCTGACTGGAAATATTCAGCTTCTGATGCTGATGCTTGTGAGCAGCTTACAGTCGTCGACTGCATCCAAATTTCAAATTGATTGAATTTTCCTTGGAAAATTGAAAATCAACACACCTGAAGACATTCAAGCTTGGCCTAGCAATCACACAACCACACATAAAATTCAGTCCAGCTTCGGAACCCAACACTATTTCCACCAATCCACACGATTTGAGGGTGCAATCAGGCACCAAATGAAACCGGCGCTTCCCAAGAGTGAACAGCTGTAGCACTAATACCGGCTTTAGCACTAATCCGCGCAGAACTAGTACAAACCGTTCCACAACAAACTGAACTCCTTCGAAGTACTGGTGCTTACAGCTTTAGTTGTGGAAGCCAATGCTACCAACCCACGGGACTCGAGGGTGCACAATCGCGGACCAGAAGTTAATACAAGCACGGCAGAACCGGAAGACCATTCAACATGAGGTGCGGTTGTAGCTGCCACATATGTGGCAACCAATCCTGACAAAAGAACTGAAAAAGTGCATTGAAAAAGAAAGAAACAAAAGCAAAACACAATTCGATCCGAGAAATGAGGCATCTAGTGATCTAGTAATGCCATCGGACTTGCTCATTGCGTCCTCTCTGAACCAAATGTCAAATCTCACCATGAGAGGATATCATACACTAGTAATCTAGCACCCTCTCCATTAATTTTCCATCCTCTTTTATGTCTCGAGGTTCCAGTGGAGAGCCCTTTCAATCTTCTTCACGCCACAGTAACTCAGTGCTCACCACAGCTGCTGTGTTGCTGCAAATTGCAACGTGTCGCCGGATCTTATAGAGTTGGCACTGCAGCGACTGCATTATTTTCCCACTGCATCCTTCCACGTGATTGCATTGTCCTGCTGTTCCTTCTGCCGAGGACCTGCAACATACTACCATCTTCACCCAAATACAACATACCGTCATTATTGCTGTAATATATAGACTATCTATGGTCGCCACAAATTATACACAGCTATAATTATAACCACATTCGTAAGATGGTAGTGCAAAGCCAAAGCAATCTAATATACTCCAAAAAAAGAAAAGGCCGTAGGCTCGCTAGCTAGAGTCCAGCCTGTCACTCACCAAACCATTCCTCGAATCTTCTTATGAATTGTCATATACCCTTCCTGCACTTCTCCTAACACCACGGTGACGTGGCAGTAATCCCAAATTTGAAATTTCCCAACAATTCTATCACAGGAGCAAGGAAGTACGCTGACGCATCACACTGAACACAGCACTCGCCTGCAGATTATGACATGATGAGTAAGGATCAGAAATTTAATACAACTTAAGGGATTTGAACCCTCGCCGATATTTTGTAATATGTCAGTTAGTACACTGTTTTACCATATGATCTCCTTCTCCATAATTGCCCCACCAAGCGAGACAATGGCACCCAGCCTGACCAGGGCATAGCACGACCGGCCACATGACACACAATGTCATCTCTAATTTACTACGGTAGCTTTTTGAACGCAGAGAGCGAATCACAGCGGCACAGCCAAGCTCTGTCAAGAAAATTGAACACTGCCATAACCCGCAGGTCGGCATTGCCGAGGAACGATACAAACACCGACTGTGCAACAATGGCTTCGCTCTCCAGAGTTTCCTGTCTTCCACAGCCCGACAACTTCAGAATCGTCCCTCCGCTCAGCAATAGGACCCAACAATTAATGTCTGCTTTAGAAACAGACGGCTGGTCACTTTATCCCCGACAAGGCTAGCAGGATACAAGCCTACGACTCAGCTCCGGCAGTAACTCCCCTTTTCCACAGACATCGTGCCCGGGAGCTGCTAACTTCATGCTGAGTCCACGAGCAGTGACGAGCTTAAGAGCTATACCTCCTGTGGTCCAGCCGCCAGAATCTGCTTGATCAGGTCCTCGTTGCCAGACACCGCGTAGTCCTGGAACTCGACAAAGTTCTCCTTAAAAAGCCTTCCCACCTTCTTCAGCGTTGCGTCATACCCATCCTTGTCTGGCCACTGCCACAAACCAAAACCCAACATAATCAGACAAACAAACCCGTTGTCAATGCCCCATGCCTGTCACAGTGTCATTCAAAACTTTCCCCAAAAGCCAAATAAACTTGTGCGACATCCTCCTCCCCCTCACGCATCCTCTTTGCGCCAGGCCCACCCCACACACAGCCTGTGCCATTATCTGGAATTCAACAGACTTGAGTTTCATGTGTGCATCAACTGAGCAGCCTGCCAGTGTGCAAAATGAGAAGGAATCTTCAGCATGAACATAGGAAGATACTCCGCAACAAACATACATTGAAAAGAAATCCCGGTGTGAGTATGAACTAAGGAGCTGTCAAATGCAAATGTCGCCAAAAGAGAGAGAGAGAGAGAGAGAGAGAGAGAGAGAGAGAGAGAGAGAGAGAGAGAGAGAGAGAGAGAGAGAGAGAGAGAGAGAGAGAGAGNAGAGAGAGAGAGAGAGAGAGAGAAGCAATGGCTGAAGAACTCACAATAGAAGCTCCTGAAAAGGTACAAAGCTTACGGAAGGTCCATAGCCTCTGCAACTGGTCATCTGGTTGCGCAGGTACCGACTGAGCAGTTACTAGCGGAGTTAGCTCTCATACCAAAGCCCTTTCCATATGTGCACATGTGAAATTGGTGGCAGAAGAGGCCTCGGCCCCCAGGGTCACGATGCAAACTGATCAAAACATCAGGCAGATGAAGATTTGCAATGAAATTCCCCCAGGTAACCTCTCAACACTGACAAAACCAAAACAGGGGATACGAAACAGTGATATGATTTTCCATGCTACTGGGCCAATACAGCCACCATGGGCCCGACGTGGAGGTGTGACCAGCACGGCACTGTTATCCGGCCGGACCGCCCATCGGGTGTCCACTCCACAGCAACTCCTGTACTAAGGAAATGAGCAAATTGAGAAATGTTTTATCGTGCGCAGTATACACCACCATGATACTTCAATCTCCTATGTCCAACGCGTGTGGAGACTACCATCTTCACCCGAATAGAACGCCCAGACATTATAGCTGTATTTGGCACAACTTATCAAGCAGCAATAATGATCGGGCCTTCTATTCAGGCAAAGACAGTTCTGATTAATTTGGTGGATCAAGGCCCATTGTCGCATATTAAAGAACATGCTAAATAGGAAATAGTAGGGAGGGATACTATCATCACCTTCCCTATTAAGTCATGCTGAGTTTTGAATTGAGAACCAAAAAGAAAAAAGAAACTCGTACATACCATGTGGAGAGTAGTCTCAGTATCTCATATACATACCATTTGCCTGGGCTGCAGCACTTCATCAGGGACTCCTTCCACGTGATCTGGTACCTGGAGATTGAAAATGGGAGTAGAGGAGAACTTGGCATGGAGCAGGCTCCCGTCATTGACGGCATCAATAATCTTACGGGTCTGTGGCAGCTTCATTCGGCTTCCAACACCATAGCTGCATTGTCACCGACACAATTTCCCAAATCCCCACAGCCACAAACCACCCCATCACCATCAGCATTGTCTCCAATACGTCAGCCTGAGGACATGCACACACATTCAGATTGAGCACACATTGTCAAAAAAAAAGAATTAATACAGAGTCATTACAGACCCTAAACCCTAAGGGCCTAAACCACAAACACGAGTAACAAGATACCGAAAATCAGAAACACTACAAATTCTACGGTTGATGCGAACACAAAGAAAACATACCTCCCAGTAATCGCACAGTGGTGCAGGATACAGTTTCCACTTCACTCCACTTCACTCTTGAGCCACCCTACCTGCCCAGAAAACTGGGTTGTATACATTGCCCGAACTGCAATTCGAAACCCTATCTTGGCCTGTAGTGCAATTATCACTCATTCCATAGTCTGCAGATTATCACTCATTTTTACGGCTCCCGCATAGTTTCCCCATAGTCTGCAGATTGCCTACTCCAGTTTTCACACACATTTTTACAACTCCCGCATAGTTTCCCCATAGTCTGCAGATCGCCTACTCAAGTTTATACACCCGGCGTCCACATCCACGAGAACAATTCGAAGTGCAAACAACAACACACACACACACATCCATGATCCAGACAAGTCTTCAAGAAAGTCTAACCGGCCCCGCTGACTCGCTGAGGCCTGCTGAGATCTCCTTACCTTCCACCCACCCATCCGGTGTTCACGAGCCATGCCGTTGCACCATGTTTCTCCATTTTCTCTGCCAGCATGGAGGCATACTTCAAAGGATGCCAGACGATGAAAGCTGCCCCAAAGCAGGAGGAGAAGGTGGCCTTGGGTTCCTTGACTCCGACCTCCGTCCCGGCCACTAGCGCCGTGTAGCCGCTGATGAAATGGTACATGGTTTGTGCCAGTGTCAGCTTGCTCACAGGAGGGAGGACGCCGAAGGCATCGCAAGTCAGAAGAATGATGTTCGTTGGATGAGGTGCCACACAAGGGATCTTCGCATTTTTTATAAACTCTATCGGATAGGACGCCCTTGTATTTTCTGTCACGGATCTGTCCGAGAAATCGACGATCCTCGTTGTCTCATCGAAGACTACGTTCTCCAGCACGGTGCCGAAACGAATGGCATTCCATATGTCTGGCTCCGTCAATGGATTGAGATCAATGCACTTGGCGTAGCACCCACCCTCGATGTTGAAGATTCCATCGTCAGACCAGCAATGTTCATCATCCCCTACAAGGTACCTGTTCGGGTCTGCTGACAACGTGGTCTTACCCGTACCTGCAAAGCCGCTCGCACACAAGAGCCCACAAGTGAGCCACCACACAAAGGCAAGTCCAACCCTAGTAGACTTCTATAGACCCCCAAGAGCAGCAAGAATCAGCAACATCATCACACTGTCAGGCTTCACACCACAATATCATAATGGTAGCAATCGGTCAGACGCGTTCGCCATTCGACCATAGCACATTAATTTTACAATTTGACAGAGCCAGACATGCAAGCAGGAATGCTGAAGGATCATCCATTACGTCCATTCAGGGCCACCACAGACTACATGCTCAGTCAGGCAGCACCTACATGATACATCTACACTGTCTCTACACCACAGGTAAGAGGCAAGTCGACATTCAACAATATCCGGGCAGGCAGTGCAGGCACCAAAATGGCAAAATCACTGTCGCAATGACTTTACACATGAACAGTGGATGAAAGATGAGCAGCACCAGGGTCGATAATGCTGTGGCATCAACAAATTGAATGTCCATTATGCCCACTCTAGGGCCTCTTCCAACAACCTCTGAGCACCCCATTTGCTGCCCCCCTAGAGTCATGAACACCAAAATTGCAGGAGCCTTTAATTCATAGGAGTCAAGGGTCAAATCAACCGCAGACATACAGCGCTCAAGGCTCAAGCACAAAGATCAACTGTCATCAACTTGAAGATGATGCTGAAGCACCAACCATCAGCCCCCGGGCCCCCCACTACCACGGTACCTCCAACTATCATCAACAGGATGCTGTGGCACCAATCATCATCCCCCAGGCCCCCGACTACAATGGTACCGCGAAGTTCACGAACAGTTTCCTATTTGCTCTTTCACTGGATTTACCACCCTCCTGCCAAATTGAATCCCCTTCCGATCGGTGTCCCACACAACCACATCGGTGTCCCACATAACCACACGATCTCCTCCCTTTGGGGCCAGCTTTCCTTCCATTCACATTTCCGAAAACCATTACCATCACATTTGATTTTGATGAGCAGTTTTTTTCTTCTTTCTGCAGCCATTGCTGCCAACCAATTATAAGGGCAAGCAGCAGTTGGGAAAGAGGGGCTTAAACAGAAGCCAAGCTGGGGGGGGAACGGAGAAAAGAGGGGCTTATACAAAGTGAGGTAGACACCGGCTTGATGAGCAAACCCAGGGAGAAATGGGAAAGACAAGAGGGGCTTGAACAAAAAAGGTGCACGCCAGCTTAACGAGTGAACCGAGGGGAACATGGGGAGCAAACCAAGGGAGAAATGGGACAGACAAGAGGGGCTTGAACAAACAGGTGCATGCCGGCTTAACGAGTGAACCGAGGGGGACATGGGGAAGAAATAGCAGAATAAGGCGAAGGGCGTTCACAGCAGAATCATGAACTCGAGATTACCAGATAAGCCAAAGAAGAGAGAAACCTTGCCGTCCTTGCCCATGTTGCAGCCCGAATGGAGGGACAAAATGCCCCGCTTCGGCATCATGTAGTTCATGTAGGTGAAACACCCTTTTTTCATTTCACCTGCATACTGCGACCCCAGGATGACCATTTCTCCCCGCTTCAAGTGGATATCTACACTGGTCGGTGAAGTCATGTAATGCGTGTATCTATTACACGGAAATTGTCCAGCATTGTAGATCGTAAAATCAGGCTCCCCAAAGTCCTCCAGCTCCGACGCTGTGGGACGGATACACCTAAGCTCATCGCAAACCAGTCATATCACCCAGCCCTCCCCCCTCCCCACAGAGAGAGAGAGAGAGAGAGAGAGAGAGAGAGAGAGAGAGAGAGAGAGAGAGAGAGAGAGAGAGAGAGAGAGAGAGAGAGCAACAAGCAAAAGGCATCAGGCGCGCAATATTACAAACCCAACCATTACTGAAATAATTGTGTACGAGCCTACGAGGTGACATGATAGAATTAGATAGTTTCCCACGTGATGTGAACACACACACAAGCACGTTTTCACACACACCCACACCCACACGATGTGAACACATACACAACCGCGCTGATGTGAACATGTACACAACCCCATTTTCACACAAACACACACACACACACATACCAGCAGAGATACCCTCCCAAGTCCCGACTCCTGGCACCCTCTTTATCCCCTATATGCAGGTCTTTTGATCTTTCCACACCCTTGAGAACCACTGAGACACTTTCTGACGCACATGGGGGAGCCCCCCAACATGACCCACCAAAGTGACCAAACTGCGGAGGTAAGTACCCTAGTCCTATCATCTTGCATACGGCAAAATTGCATCTGTACCCCACTTAAAGATACGAACCCACGATACCCAGTCCCGGCACCCAACTTGCATCTATACCCGGACCCCATTCAACTTCCCATAATAAAATGATAGTACCCAACGTTTCCCCTAGTATTCGAAATTGTACGCATACCCAATCCCACAAGCCCTCAGTTTTGGGCAAAGAAATTATGCCCATGCCCACAAACAGGCTTGCAAAATTGCATGCATATGATACCCAAGGCAGGCCTCCGATAGCGGTATTAGCAGACCATAAAATTATTACCCATGACCACCACGTGGACCATTGTAGCCCAGCAGCTGGCTGGGTATGAGCATAATTTCAGCCATCCAGTAGAAGGGTATATGAAAAATGTGGCTGGTCCACCTCAGTCCCCGGTATGCCCATAATTTTGCCTGGGTACGTCCATAATTTGTGCATTCCTGCAGTTGGTTGTAACTGCAATTTTGCAGTACCAACCTGTTTCCACCTCAGTCCCACATGCAAATAATTTCCATCGGCCGTTTTCTGAGTATAGGTGCAAGTCGGCACTGGGGGACTCGCAGTTTTTCCTGTAATCAATGTCCCACTACATAGCCAACCATGTCACGCTCGTCACTCCATGCCTAAAGCTACTCACTAACTCGAGTCGACTCACACGGGCGGCGTCACAACCGCCCACTCCATTCCTCTGTTCCCTCCTACGTGGCCAGTCCTGTCAGGCTGTCACCCTCCATGTCTAAAGCAACTCATAAGGAAAGGCCAGTCCCTCCCTATGTGAGTGTTCCCTACTATGTGGCCAGTCCTGTCTCATCACAAGAACGGCCTTGCAA